CCCACGGACACCGCCCGCGGTGCGCGATCGCAGCGGTAAACGCTGTCCCAGCAGCCGGGTGACAAAGATCACTGCATGAGACCTTGACACAAAAGTTTTACATTTGCTGTAAAACAACGTGTCGATCGTCCTGGAGTTTTTCTGGATGATGTGAATTTTGTTAGTGTGTACTACTGGGAGTAACACCCGGCGCTGTGCGGGCGCTTCTGGCTGGGGGTTGCCGTCAGCCTGTGGCAGGGTGTTCGCAAGGGGCCTGGATGCTTGCCTTGTGTCCCAGGCCTCGCTCTCTGCAGCTGGCAGGGCGGAGGCAGTGGCCGTCCCAGGCACGGGCTAGGGGAAAGCTCTCAGATACGCATGGTCTCTTGTATAGTTTTGTGTTTGGGTAAGTTTATAACTCAGAGTGCTATTTCGTGCCTCTGGGCTGTCGTGAAGTTGGGACCTGTCCCCATCTGCTACGTGGCGTGGCTACCCTCTAACCTCAGGGTAGTCCATGTGCTGCACTGGTAGTGTGTCTGCAGTTTGAGGGAGCATATTGACAACAAACTTTATAAAGCACAGTATAATACATAAGTACTTTCTGGTTTGTCCTTCTTAAACTTCCTGTTTCTGTAGGGAATTAGATAGCAAGTGATGAACAAATCTCATAAATCTTTTGTACCGGAATGGTTAACAGTACATTACAGTTATTACAGTTATTATTACAATGCTAATTCTTGCCTATTCAGTCATGATTTAATGTCAGGTAAACATAATTGTGATTCTTTTACATAATTGTAACGAAACAACTATCAGTTTACATTTCCATGCGGTATAGAAGTTTTGTGAATGGCAGTTGTTCCTCAGGGAAATTTCTGAGAAGGTAAACTAATTATGTAACTGAGACAAGATGTTTTTATAATCTCAGCCTTTGATAAGTTGTTTATTGCAAACTGTGAGACCCTTGACCTTTTTTTTTTAAAAAAAAAAAGCATCTCATAACCACGTTGTAAACAAATTATTTAATTCAGGGTTGATGCAGGTAGAAGGGTAAGGCTGAGCTCTTGCCTGTGCATACACTCTACCTTAGGTGTTTATACAAATTAAACTGTGAAATGCCATTGACCTAATTTGACGTGGTTGCAGTGGTTTGCCTGTTAGTTAGGAATTTTCCAGCAGAATGCTGTTTTTGCAAGATTGCAGCTCTTGGCAAGAAACTTCAGTTTTTCCCAGAATGGCTTTGTTGGGTAAACCGAAACAAAAGCTCCTGTTCTTGAACAGCTTCTTTTTTCTACCCTGCCTCCTGTTTTGACTTCTTCATTAACAGATTTAGTAAGGAGCTTGGAGAATGAGTTACCATAGAGCCAGAGAACATTTTTAAGTGGAGTATTTTAGAATCACAGAAGTTACGTTTCACGTAACTTTTGACTCGTTTTCATGCCAAATAAAATGGATTTTTAGTGGGGACTGTAAGAATTTTCTGTGAAAGGTAAGTCTGAGATCTGACCAGCTCTGGTGTTTTTGCAAGGAAGATTAAAGGTAAGGATATTCTAGGGTTTTGGGTTTTTTTCCTCTCCCTCTCTTCTCATCTAGTTAGCACTGAGTATTGAACTCAGCCTATGGTAATGTGTTACAGATTCTTTCCAACCTTTTTCCTTCTTTCAAACCCCGGATTTCAGGATGTACTGTTTGTGCTGTGTTTGCACACCAACCAGTACACTTACGCTAAAAAGGAGTTGAAGCTGTTGGCCTTGGCCGGTAAATCTCATCTCTAAACATCATGTTGCAGACCCCTTAAATTTCTCCTGTTCCACCTCCTGTCAAATGGCAATTGTTTGATCTCTTGTGGGCGTAAAACTTCTTTGCAAATTGTAAGTGATGTCTGGTCATTTGTACTTGACATTTTAGAGAAAGAGAGTGAATGCCTTCTTCCTGGAGAAAAGCACAGGGCTTATGCCAATTGCTGTTGGCTTTTATCTCACAGTATAAGATTTGTTTTTTATTTACAGCTTGATAAAAGCTGTCTGAAACTTATGTGTCTGATTGGTGCATTTTAAGCTGGAGGCTTCTGTTTGTGATGTGTCTTTGAAGTGCATTATGATTATCAACCTTTAGAAGAAGGTAATACAAGGCCAGATTAGTTTTAAGAGTTTGCGCTTGTGTAGTGCTTTTGTGCATCCTGGGTTAGCAGCTGAGACAAAAAGATACAACACAGTGACTTCTTGTAATGTGGATCTAATAACAATCTTAACATTTTGATCTGTTTGCCTGTGCAGTTCCTTGGTGATTTTTAGGCTTGTGGACTGTGGGGTTGCGCCTCAAAGTTCTTATTCCAGTGACCATAAAAACTTGCTTCATTTCTTCAGTCTCATTCATTAAGTACTGACCAATGGCTGTTGATAACACTAGTGATGACCAGAGAAACTTGCTTTAGGAATCAATAGAACTAAAGGTACCTTGAGAAAGGAGCTAATTTTATCTTAAATAACTAATCCTGCTTCATTTAAATGGATGCACTGCTTCCTTGACTGTGGTCAAAAGTCTTAGGGCTGTAGAAACTGGTTTTGCTGTATGTTTAATTTAACCTCTCCTGGAAAAAAGTTCAGAACTTATTAAAATGTTTGTAGTGAGGTTTATCAAGATACTGTGGGGTTTCTATTCCATTTTATCTATGGCATTGAAGCTGGTTTCAGTTACTGGTTATACACTATTTATAAATTTGTTCTGTTGAATCACGTTCGAAGCAATGTGCAAGCTGCAGCCATTCCAAACATAATAAATTCCCACAAAAGTGATCGGTCTTAACGATATTTCAGTTATCCTGAAGACTCGATATGATTAATTACAATCATGAATTGAAGTATCTGGGAGTTGGGGGAAGAGCAACTCGGTTTCCAGTCTCTGCCAACAAACTCAAAGAGTTCTTGCGTATCTGTCTCTTGAGTGCTTTGTCTTGAAATGATAGCTGTCGTAGCATTTGAAACTGAGCTTTTATATTGAGGTACATTTTGATAGGAAGGAAATGGCTTTTGCATTTGACAAGTGTTTCTTTTCACAGCGATAATTCACAGGTGTTCCAGGCTAACATTCTGCGAACCCGCAGGAACAGTACCACAGTTATGAATCGTCATAGTCTGGTAAGAAAACTGTTAGACCAACTGCATTAGGCCCAAAGCAGAAGCGTGCAAACAGGATTAAAGAAGAAAATTAGATTGTAGTCTGTGAAACTAATACCACATGTTTTCAGAAATCAGGCTCTAAACTGTGACATTAATACGTTGTAGCTATAGTGAAATGTTACTTATAGACCATTTGGCCTGTGGAGAGTACTTATATTTCAATGTGATCATAACTTTGTTTATCAAATGCAAGCAGATGTTTTAAGACAGAGTAAGAAAGGTAGTTCACAAAGAAAACTAATTACATAAATGTATTGTTCAGTAACTAAAGTGCTAATCATTCCTGATTTAAAAAAAAAGTGCTGTGATGTTCTGATTTTAAATTGTCTTTTATGTAGTAATGACAGAATAGACTTGTAGTCAACAACTGATAAAAGAAGATATAACTGGCTGGTAGAATATGAATCTGGAGACTTCCAGGATGAATGGTTGTACATCTCTTAGAGACGTTCATTTGTGACTTCAGCTTTTGTCAGGCTTCTGTTACTGCAACTCCCCAAATCTGAATTTTTAAAAAATATTAATCTAAACCCAGAGAAAATATTGCATATTGTGTGTTTCAGTATTGTACAAATTGTGGCAGAAGGCTGTGATTTTGACTGCTTTAGAACACCTGCCCAGGATCGCGTAGACAGCATGATTTGCTATCTCTTAAAGGGTTGGTGTGCATAGGGTAGTTATTTCTGCTAACCAAAAGGAATTTTTGGCCAGGCTTTCATGTATAACCAGAAATAAAATGTTTCCCCTAAGAAAACCTTAAGAAGCAGGTAGACCCAGGATAACATCCAGCTGCATTCGGTTGATTATTAATGTATTAATGTTTTAGAAAAATTAATTTATGTTGGGGTGGGAGGGAAGTGGTATAATTTTTCTTTTAAGTATGGGAAACAAGGTCTCTGTAATGCTAACAGCAATTGTCCTGTTTTTCTTAGTTACCTTTTGAAGATGCTTTAGAATACTTTGTTAGCCTCGTGTTAGTGGTTGAAGAATACTGTTCTGCTGTTTTCTTGACCAGTGCCCCTGAGCTAAAATTCTGTTTTAAAATCAGGACAGACAACTGCTTCAGCAAAGGTTTGCATCTGTAACAGAACCAGGATACTTCTGTGAAAGTGTAGAAAGATTGTGGAAAAGCCCTTCTCCTGCTAGGATGTGAAACCCGATAGAACATGTTATGGTAAAGATTTCTTAAACAACAGCCGCTTTCTTCATACATATTTTTAGTGTGGCAGCTTGGGGTAAATTTGCTTATGGTTGTGGTTAGACAAAAGGAGAAACAAACAAAGGTGAAAGCTTAGTTTATTGTGTTTACTTCTCGAAGGTCCTCAATTGTTAGGCAAAAAAGATGCTGATTTAGGTTGCGTTGCCCGGAACTCGCTGGGAAGCAGGAGCTGGTTCACTGATGTGCGAGCTTTTCTGGCTGCCCCTGATGTTGCAGTCTGCTGGGCTGAGCCAGTGTTCCCTTCTTCACCGGATGATGTTCTTAACCCTTCACCTCTCTTGAAGGTTATTAAAAAGCATCCTGAAAGTTAGCTTTCTTCTTCACCCCTGGCTGACCAGGTGCTGACAAAACATAGTTGAGGTTTTACTTATGCTACAAATCAAGTGCTGCATTGACTCCTAGATCAGTGCATTGTCCACTTTGAAATGTTTCTGTGAATTATGGTCTGGTTTATAGTTCTGTTGCAGATGACAGGGAGGATGCAATTGGAAAGGAACTGCGATGTTATCTCATCCTTCTGTTGTCTTAAACCAGGATCATCCACCGATAAATGATTTTGTGAAAATAATTGAACTTGCAGCATTAAGGACCCTGAGCAACCTCACCTGGTATTCTTGCTGTAGGAAAGAACTACGTGTAGTTTTATGATGTTAGGAGATATTGTAAGGAGCTGGATGACACCTACTTTGGTAAATTAAATTTTACAAGAAGTAGGTGATAAAAGTGTTCTTCACAAACCACTTTTTTGTATTTAGGAAAACTAACCCAAGTTTTATTGCAGAGTAAGCTCTAATAAAGAGGGTGAAAAGATTCAGTAAGTGACTGAAACTTTGTTAATTTCGTATTATAAGTACAGCTAAAATTTTATGTTTTGTTAAACTATGTGGGGAAAAATTGATTCGTATTTGTCTACTCTGTGTTCACTGCCATGGGAACAATGGGAGCTGCTAAAATGCTCTTACAGCTGAAGGTCACGCTCTGTCTCGCCCCATCTTCAGGGCTGTGGGGCAGCTATCCCTTCGCGGGGGGGGGGGGTTAACTCGCAGTTTTCTGGCACTGCGTGTCATTGCCAGGGAAGGTCAGCTAGGCTCAGTATCTGCTGTTTGTTTCCTTCCAAAAGACATCAGTGGCATCTAGTTAGTGTTTTGGGGTTTCTTGTTTTGTTTGTGTGGTTGTTTTGTTTTGTTGTTTCAGCAAAACATTTTAGTCTGTGGTTAGATATTTAGGTACTATTTCAGCAACAGCTGATTTTTAAAAATTTTTTGTATGGCTAGTTTTTGTAGGCAGGTAGGTTCCGTGTTGCGTTCACTGTGTGCCCCCACCGCTTGTGTTGGCAGAGGGCACTGCAGGGACAGCAATGGGAGGGCAGAGGCGCTGGGGCAGGTGACAGCGTGCTTTGGCTGTGCTGCCTGCCAAAATGGCGTAGCTGAAACTTTACCTTCAGTAAAAAAGATTATCTAACATACTGGAGAAGGGAGGAGGGGGAAGGTGTTCCTCTTCCACGTGATAGTCTGATAGTCTGTGATGGTTTTGTTAAGCTCTGTGCTCTCTGAAAACACTGGCAATTTCAGTAGCATAATTTTAACAAATGGGTTCAGTCTGCTTTCGCAAGTGGCCTTTAAAAGTGACCAAGGTTTCTTTTCATTAAATCAAGGGACTACGAACAGGGAAAAAGTGAGTATTAAGCATTGACAAAGCAAGGATCACGACTTGTTGGAGATGAGATGTAGGATCCTCAGAATTAGTGGGTTTAATTAGTGCGTTAGATCCTGGAGAAGAACACTTAACAGTCTTTTTATAATTTTTATTTTACACTGCAAGCCACTGGTTTCATATATATTCTATTAATGTCAAGCCTTAAAGTATGTGGGTCACAGTCAAAATTAGAATATAATGAGTGGAACAAATGCATTTCTACTGTGGAGTGACAGAGTGAATAGGCAGGAATGTACTATTGTCCAGATCCTTTTCTCTGTCTGAGAATCAAGGTCAACTCAAGGTCCGCATTGGCTGGTGCAGCTTGGAGGAATTTTTAGTAGGTGCACAGGATTTTTGGGAGCCCAGTATAATAGTAAAGCTGACTTAAGAAGACTTAAAGCTGAACTTAAGAAGTAGCAAATCAAGACATTATAGCCATTAGACTTTAGTAATATACATTATGATGACTAAATGCTGGCACAAACATTAGACATCCTCTGTGTGAGTGATAGGTGAGTATCTTTTGTGAGAAGAAGGGCGTGATGTCTTGGTGTTTGTTTTTTGTAGGGGGAGGATTGTGGATATATGAAGCATTAATAGTCTGTGATAACTTACCATAACCTGTTGTGTAAGACAGCAAAATCTTTGTATTCTCCATGGCAGTGATTAGAAGATGGTCAGTAAATGGATTACTGAATGTTTGTTCTCCAACTTTAGCATAGTGAAGAGCTCTAGTAATGTTTTGTGAAGGGAGTGAAACCTCCTGCTGCATAAAGTATATAAACACTTAGTAATAACACAAACCTTACTTGCTGAACACACATCTGTTTTAAAAAGACAGCTTGTTTTTTGTAGGGGTTGTCATCTGACAGAAGTTAAACAGCTATTCAAAGCTTTAGCTTTGAATTTTTGATCCCTGTATGAGTTATGACAAGTGTCAACTGCAGGTCAAGTGTTTGAAGGATGGCAAATATGTGAAAGGAAATTATATTTTGAGAAAATAATCACTTTGAACTACTTGGGTTTGAGTATGCAGTTTTAGATCATAGTAATCCAGTGAGATCTTGATGCAAAAGTGACAAAATTAACAAAACCACCATTCTTAGTGACATCCTCTCTGATTTCACCCGAATTGGTGAAGCTCTTGAGAAATCATAAGGAAGGTATTTAACTCTTTGTTAGCCTTCTAGTAACTGATTTTTTTCACCTGTCAAAGTACTCACTCATGGACAGACAACAATCCAGAAACCTTTTTGCACAATGTGTTGTTTTGGCTTTGTATTTTTAAAGGATCTATTGGGGAGCCTTCTAGATCACTTAAATGGAAATATTTATGCAACCCTATATATTAGGGTGAGAGTGTGCTAATTAAAAGCAGCAGCTTCATTCTGTAGAGAAGGCTATGAGTTCTAGTTGCCTGGAAATGAAGTGAAAGCCAGACTGATCCTGATTAGCATCTGTGAGCATACAAAGCAGTATAATATGGAAATATAGATTATCATGTTCTTGCAAGTAATTAATGTAGTTTTGTGTATACTGAGATTGTTATGAATGTTGCTGAATTTTTTAGTTTGGGATACCACTGTAGAGTGGTTACTAACATTCCTGCACCTTTCTCTCCCTTCTCCTGTAGTTTCTAAGTGTTTCAGTTGTCTGTGGCTTTGTTTTGCAGTTTGTGCCATCGTCTCCTATCCGTATTCCTAGCAGCCGTCTTCATCAAATCAAACAGGTAAGCACAGATTCTAATTGTTTTAAATTTTAATTTTTTTTATAGGTGGTTGTTTTTTTTGCCATTAATGTGTAACATCCTTCAGATGCCTGTAGATTTTACTTTCAAGCTGTAGTACAGAGTTGGCAGCAGTCTCACCAGTTCAGGGTGTTTTCAAAAGTAAAAGTTGTATCTTGTCTGCAAGGTTCTAAATTTTGTAAAGTGGAGTGCATCTTATAGTGAGAAGATTTGAGCAGAAAGAGAAATCTTAAAATGGACATTGTAGAAAGGAAACCTTTAATATAAACCCCTAGGGTAAAGTTTCACCAAGTTTTTGGCAGCAGTGCCAGCATAAATATTCAGGGCCAATAACACAGTGTTCCTTAACTTGTGTTGGCACCAGACTTTTGTGCAGCCAGAAAATGAACTGGGTAAGGAAGCACTCTGGCTAAAAAATAGTTTGGACTCTTCTGGCTGGGCTATTTTTCATCCATATAATTTTCTTATCCAGATCACTGTACTTGTGCTGTGACAGCAAGAGCGGAGGGGGAAGGGCACAAGAGCAAACACTTAGGAAGGGAGGAGGGGGGTGGCAAATATCTGAGTAGGCTTAAATAGCACTGTTACCAGACAGCAGACCGCAGTCGAAAGAGTCAAGTTTTAAGATCAACAAGCACAAGCGCTCGTGGCTCCTCCATTTTATATCTTGACTTTTTGACAGTAGAATGTTTATAAAATTGGCTTGAAGATGCTTGATTTTTTTAATTTTTTTTTTTTTTTTTTTTTTTTTTTTTTTTTTTTTGCATGCTGGTTTTCAGTGAACAGGCTTGATTTTTACAGGGTGATATGTTACGAAAACAATTTAATGCTTTGGACAGCATTTTCAGGGTATGATGTCTGAAGTGATGGAAGGCACTTTTGCTTCCCACCTCGGATATTTAAGGTGCATGCATAGTAATCCTGAAGAAAAGAACTGCTTGCTTTCATTATATAAATAATTTACTGGCTTGAGGAGGCTCTGAAGCACTCGGGTCTGTTGTAGAGCTGTTTTTATAAACACAGAAAAGCTTAGGATTAATACATACATGTGATGGGAGCAAGGGAATGAACTGCTGTGGCTCTGCTGTATTACTTGAAGTTTGATAATTCATTTTTTTGGAAAATACTTATGCATTCATACTTGTTCCATACATTTATTAAAGCAAACACTGACATTTCCTAATTTGTGTTTGATCATTAAATTCACAAGCTGACATTCCATGTCCTGTATACTTACTGGCACAAATAGGAACCTGCGTGATTTACTTCTGATCTCTTTTAAATCTCAGCAAATAATCATACTCGAACTATGTCAGTAAGACTCCTCCTACATACGATGAAGACTGTGAAGATGTTTAGTTGGACTTTTATTCTGGAACTGGACTGAATTAGGGAATCTACTAATTCACTCAACAGACTGGACAGTTAGTTTTACGGAAAGGTGCATCCCTAAGAGGGGATCGAGCCAAGTTTATGCTTTAACTTGATGTTGATGTTTAGTTTAGTTTTACATTTTTGATCTATTTTAATAATCTGTACTAGTTTCCACTTTGTGAAATAATATTATGAAGACTGCATAAAGATACTCTAGCATGTACAGATTTTTTTTGTTCATATTATCATTGTTCAACTTTGTAACTACTTCTTGAATAGCAGTGAAACTACTTCTTGAATAGCAGTGAAAATAAAAAAGCTGCTTGAGAAACAACCAATTCCCATAAGCACTTCTTATTGTGATGGTCTCTCATGCTACATCTCTTTCCAATCTTCTTCCTCTCCCTCATTTCCATGTAATGAGAGCTTAAGGTTATTGTTGCTTGACTGAGTTGAATTAAATTGTCTGCATACTGAAGTGAAATGAAACTAGAGCTTTTCCGATTTGCTGTAGCAAAGTGCTTTTTTAAATTATAATTTTTCACTTGGTGATCTTTTAGGAAGAAGGAATGAATTTGATGAACAGAGAAACAGTACATGAAAGGTAAGCATTAAGGCAAACTAGAATACTTAATGCAGTCTTCTATGGGCCCGGGACAATACGTTTCTTTTCTTCTTTATAGAGAAGTGCAAGTAGCAATGCAGATGAGCCACTCATGGGAGGAGAGCTTGAGCCTGGTAATTCATTCATGCTTTAAATTGTGTTTCAGTTATCAGTTATTCAGGACACTAGAGACCTTCTCATGTCAACATTTTCTTTGATAGTTTGACCTACAGTTAAGGTGTTAGTATATCACTGCTTTTGATCAGCAATTTTGCCTAACAAGGCATAGAATTATCAGTTGTTCGAGGATGTCTGTTCCTTGGGCTGGTATGTCAAAAGGAAATTACATGGATGTCTGCCTCTTCAAATTTTCACCTGTGTTCTGATACTCACGAAGTAACGTTTAAGGCTTTTTGTTGTTAAGCATAAGCTCATAAATGGCTACCTAAAAATTATTAATATGATGGAGGATAACTTTGGAATCATACTCAATTTCACACCAATCAGTCCTTTTCACATTATGGTACTTGCTCGTAAGATTAATTGTATGTACTATTTACAGAGTGACAATGATTTTGAAAAATCATCATCACCAAAGCAAGTAGACTTTGTCCCAGTTTCTCCAGCTCCTTCACCTACCAGAGGAATAGGGAAGGTGAGCAAGATGTGGTAATGATGGTTTTATCTTGAGTAGTGCTAAATAAATTCAGCTGAATTAGTAGCAAAAGATTAAGCCACTGGCTCCTTTCTACATCAGCTGCAAACAAGAAACTAGAGAGTAAACCAAAAAAATCCTGAAACTCCAAACCAGCAAATACCAGCTAGCAGTCGCACATCTTGTGGAAGTGAATTTCTGTGGAGTGTTCAGCTGTTAATCTGTGGTTAATAAACCTTACTCTTTTTTTTCCTTCCTCTTGGAAGAAGAGGAAGTAGCATACATTCTTATTCTATGAATAAAATAATTTATTTATGAATAAATATTTGTCAGCTTGCATGTATTCTGCATGAAAATGGAATCTGTCCAATTTTAAAAAATTTTTTTCTCAGTAACAAATGTGGTGTCTCAGTATACCCAGCCATACTGACTGGTTGCTTAAATAGATGCTGGGTTGCTTACTTACCTGCAGTCAGGATCAGTCGTTACCATATGGGTATGATACAGTGTTTGTATGCAAATAACGCAAACTGTTTTACTCTCAGCAATGTTTCTCACCATCTTTGCAAAGTCTGGTGAGTAGCAGTGGATTACCTCCAAGTCCTAGCCCAAGTCCAACACGGCGATTTTCAAGGTAAGTACCAGATCATAGCAATAATAGAAAATTGGCATAGCTTGTTCACAATAGGCTTTTGAAATACCAGAAATTGTTATAAACATAATGGATTTCTGATCACAGATACAACTTAATATGTTCATGTAAACTTCAGATTTTACAATGCTCTAAAATATTTGTCAAAATCCTCACGTTGTAAAATTGGGAAAGTGGGCTGCATTGGGGGATCTGTCTTCTCAGTGTAGGCTCTGTATTGCCCTTAATCACATCTTAAGATAATGGAATTGAATTGTAAGGGGGAAAAAAACCCCAAACAATCAGGTTTAGGGTTTGTTACTGATTCTGGTTTTAGTTGTGTTGGATGCTGTTTTGATTGGGCATACAATTAAATTTTATTAGGCCCAAACAGTTTGGCAAACTACTGCTTGTCGACTGAGACCTAGTCAGTACCTAGATGTGAGCTTTTGGACTGCCCCAGCTGTGAAATAATGTGATTAAACTTTTTCTGTTAAGGTCTATGCTTCCTGGTCTTTCTTAAGGAAAAAAAGAAAAAAAAGACTTATTTTGGATAAGCTGTTTTAATGCCTATTTTCACAGTGATTTCCAGTTAGTAGTTTGTTATGTGAATATCTTTTGATTTTTTTACATGTTTTCAGGCTTCCTTTATTAATGGCGATATCAGTATAGCCTGTGCCTTCTTTTAGCAGGAGAAGCCAGAGTCCGATTAACTGCATTAGGCCGAGTGTTCTTGGGTCAATAAAAAGAAAAGGTACAGTATTTGGTTTTGGCTAATACAGTAGGCCAAGTTGTTAATTTTATGATAATTCATAGAGCTTTCTTCATAATTCTGTTTAATTGAAATAGAGGGTATTACAGATGACCAAATAAACAGAACTGTTTGTAGGGATAAAACAGACAAATTAGTTTTTACTATTCCATAAAACTAACAGTTGTTCTGTTCTAACACTTCTCCATTGCTGTAGTTGTATAGATCTGATAAAAAACTAATGTAACCTGCTTAACAAAACGAAGAAATACAACTACTGGTATGTTTAACTTAGCCAGGACTTTCAAAATTTCTATTTGTTAACTGAAGCACATGGGTAATGTACAGGTAAAATCCAAAACCCAAAATTCAAAACCAAAAACTGATGCAGAGACCTGGTAGACACCTTACAGCTGTATTGGGAAATGTTTCTCGATCTTCCTGCACTTTTCTTCAAGTTTAACCCCTGTTTTTATACCGTCATGCTTCACCTTTGCAACAGAACACTTCTGTCTCTGAGACAGCTTTCAGAATACTTTTGTAAGAGTTCTTTCATAGCCTGTTTAGGCATATATCTATCCTCCTTTCTAGTGTATTTGGAAATAAAAGTCAATATATAAGTTTAGTGATAATCCTAGACCTTTTTTTTATTGATTGCAAGAGGAGAACAAGCTTTCCTTATTCCCAGCTGCTCTACTTTGGTGGAACTAGTCAGTGACCTGCTAGCTGAATAAACTGAAATTCTTTGCTACAAAGAATAAATATCTGGTGTCAAAACCTCAGTTCATAACTTGCGAAACTTTCCTGAAGCATGGACTAAAATGTTTCCAAGAAACAGACAGTCTTTAAAATTTCAGCATCGAGCTTCCATGTTTTATGTATAAAATAACAATCTGTTGTAACAAGCGTGAACCACTGTTCTGTTTGCTCTGTAGAAGTACATCGAACATAGTTTTCAGTTTAAATGAGTAGTAATTTTTTTATCACTCCTTATCTCTTACCAAAGGTGTAACAGAGATGGAAGATCATCCCAAAAGATTATTCCAGGGATCCACCAGCATGCTTACCCCTGAAGTTTCACATCAGGCGGACCTCAGGGGATGGTAAACTCTGTGCTATTTATTGTGTCGATTTCATCAGAAGCTCCGCAAGTCTTTTTTTGTCTAGCAATGATCATACTTGAAGTGGGGTTTTGTTTTGTTTTAATCAATACAGACATCCTGTATTTTTGAAGCTCTGAAATTCTCACAGTAAACAGGCAGTAACATTGACTACAATTTTACAGTCTCTAGGACTGACTGTTAACGTGCTTCACGCGTATGGGAGTTGAGCATGTTTAGGAAAAGATACCTCGTGGCTGGCAATTTTTGGAGTCTAGTTCCAAGCTGCAATCAAACGTGAATGCTAATGCTTGTGGGTGGATTGGGGTTTTTTTTATTCCTTATTTTTTCCTTGCTATTTGTCTCATAGGAAAATTAGTCTGTCTGACCCTCCCTGCTGGGAGGAGATAAGTACTATGTCAAAAATCATAACAACGTGAAATAGCAAGGGATTTTGATGTAGTACTTTAGTCGAGAGGTTAATAATACATAGGGTGTGCCCACACAGCTATCAAGACAGGGCTGTTTACAGTACGTTTGTCCTTTTTGCCTCTCAGCTCATGGACATAGCTGTGCACAAGCTTTGAGCGCATTGCGGTGGCAATAATAAAATAGATGTTTTAAAGGTACTTCAAGAACATACCTTTTTCGCACATCCTATTCGCAGTAGGCATAGCAGTGCAGGTTCAGTTGCTGCATCCGGGTTTAGGAGATGGTAATTTCAAAAAACACTTTGATGCTATCGCCGATGATAGATCACCTATAGTTATAATTTAGTCCCCTGTGAAATACCTAGTGAATGGTACAACTGAAGTATGTACAGTTTGTCATCGCCTCTTCTGGCAAAAGAAGCTTCCAGACATGTGCTAGCCCAAGGACCTTGTAGGAGGTGGGGTACAGCTTGCAGTGAGTTGCTCAGCCTGATGCTTCTCATTTCTGGGTGAGCTGCAGGAGGCAGTTGGCAGGATGTTATCTGTTTGGAGGCGGCTGCCAGGGGTGTAGTTGCAGATTTATTTCAAATTGTAGGGCTTGCTGTTCCTTCAAAGATGTACATTTGTTTTTAATATGTCTTTATGATGAATGGAAGGTAGTATCTGAAACTGCTCAGGAAGAGCACCTCATTTCTCACACCTTGATGTTCCTCTGTTTTCAGTCTGTCATCACATGCTCTGGATGACAACAGAAGCAGCGCAGGCTCTTCCTGTGACTCACCCGCTGAAGTCGGCACCAGCACAGACTCTCCAGTCTCCCTTTCTGACTCCAGATCTCCTTTTTTACCAGTAGATCTTACGGCTAAGTTACCTATTAACTGAGAAGTAGAAGTCTGCTAACGGACACCGAGAAACAGGCTGGATATCAATAAGACTGTTGCATGTAACTGATTCTGTTCCTCATAGGAACTTCCAGAAATGTCATTATTTCTAGAAAACTTCCAGAATAGTTCCTTGAGGAGGAATTCGCATTTCTAGTGATTTGTATGACATTTACTAAAATACAGTAAGCATTTGAATTTCAAACATATTTGATGCTAACATGAGTAAGCAAGCTGTTGGTTTACAATGGATATCGTCTCGTAGGCAGAAGTTACAAATACTGTGTGTACGCTCTGCTTGTGGAAGACTTGGCTTTCCAGCAGCCTGCGGGCAGTGTCCTCACTAATACGAAGCGGTGCTTATGTAGTAACAGATAACTTTTTGTCCTCAGTCTGGAACCAGTGAAGGAGCTTACTAATTTGTTTTTATTCCCTGAGTTTGAGTTATTTATATTTTTTGTTCTTCATATGAAAGAGGGAATATTATGGGAGGGGAGGAATTGATTCTTGTGTTCTGTTATGATTGGCTGTTAATCAATTCTGAGTTCTAATAGATGACAAAAGAACAAGTTGGTGAATTGTCAGATTTATATGTTGGATTTTATTCATGATCATGACCGCTGTTGTGACTAAATTCAAGTTAGGTGTGGAACATTCTTCTGGGGTTCCCCCCCCCCCATTTAGATGACGTATTAGAGTGATAGATGCTCTGTTAAAGGTCTTTTAATAGGGAAAAAGAGTAATGATGTTTGGAACAAAACACTAAATCCTGAGGGTTTAGTATTTAGTACTTCTGAAGTGCATTATTTTAACAGACAGTATTTGTCCTCATATATGGCTTTTGTTGGACAAATACAGTGTGGGATCTTGAATGCCTTTTTACAGACTGAGGCGATCAAACATGTTTAATCTGTGTTTAATCTCCTGATGTTACTTCCTCAGACAATGGCGTGAAGTTATTTCTGCTGTTGAGAACTTCAGGTGCAGATTGAAAGCCTAGAATTTGGTAATCTGAGATGTTTCAGGATTCTTGTACTGTGTTTGAAAAGTCAGTGGGTTGAGGCATCCTGACCTCAACTCTGAAATTCCCCAAACAGGGGGGAAAAATCTGCAAACCCCACCGCAGACAGCTGTTTCGGATTTTGCAGTGGCAACCTCATGTTGGTTGGTGACTCCTGTTCTGCAGCTGAACTTCCCCAGCTGGGTCCCCATTTGTGCGTGCGCGCGTTGTCTGTACTGTGTGGTTCCAAGCCTTCTCTCTAGAGAGGTTAATAACGAAGCAAAATGTTTTATTTTGAAACACTAAATCTTTGTAACGTGTAATAAAGTGAGAAAAGTATGAAAACTTCCTCAAGTAGGAGAAAAGCCCATGCTGAAGTCTGCTGTGAAAGAATGACATGGGTGAAGCTTTGAATGACAGCACCCATCAAAAGTAGAAATGGATGACGTGGAGTGTGAAGAGCTGGTGACCTGAGGACCAACTACCAGTATCCTCATATCCTTATTGTAGAAAGAAAATAGAATGTATTTAATAGTTTTACTCTGTTCAAGTAAGATATGACATGGTTTACTTCTGATTTCATTCCTCTTAAATTATTCTAACAAGTCAACTTCCTGACTGCAGTTCCTTTTTAAATTCCAGCTGCCCTTCATCCTCATGGCAGATGGACAAGCTTGTGTTCCATTTCTGGTTGCTCTCTGTCTAATATGGCATAGTTCTGTTTCGCAGTTTCAGGTATGTGCCAAAGAGTTGCTGTGCGTTCACTCTTTTGTGGTGAGGGCAAGGCTTCCACCCCCCCCTAAATCTTGCTTATTTCCTAAGAATGAATCTCCTGGTGTCTCTTCCAGTCTTTTTTCAAAGATACATCAGTAGAGGGGTTTCATAGTTGTGTGTGAGTCAACTTGTCTCTTTTCTGTTGAATATTTATGCTATTTTTCAAATAAGTGCCAATAAATGGAAAAATAAACGTGTTTTGCTGTTGCTGTGCTTTGTTGGAGAGGTAAGCATACTCTTGTTTTCATCTGTGATTCAGTGTTTTTAAATCAGAGTATCTATTGTAACCCGCTTCCACCCAGTCTAGTTTACATTTGAGTTGGCCTTCAAATCGGCAGCAGGCTTTCCTGTTTTCCTAGTGCAGTGCTGTCTTCAAGTTCTGTGACAGCTCCAGGAAAACCAAAGAATAAACCCAAACATTTAAAAAATATTTCAATAGCTAAACGCGTCCCTAGTTTATACCTAGAGGAAGTCGTGGTGAAATAGCTTGGAAGATGGAAGCTACGGCTGGCTGGTGGACAGCACTGAGGCTCTCGTCTCTATGGGAGAAGTGGGCGGTCTCTGTGGTTTGCCTTAGTAGGACAATTAATGCTGCTGGAGGAGAGATACACGGTTACGTATGTGCAGTTGTTCCTTACCCTGCTTTTGCAAAACAGAAATCACTTTGAACTTGTGGAAAAAGGCATCTCAATTTCTTGTCCGGCCGTGCCATCAAGGAGCTCAGTTCTGCGCCCTGGGTTCAGGAAGCAGGTATCCTTTTTGTGCCACCGAAATGAAATACTAAATTTTGGAACCAAATTAGCCTGCAGAATAAGTACCTGGGTTCAGGGAATGAGGGTGTTACACAATGCGCGTAGTCAACCCTGTACTCACGTAGTAACTCATGCTGGTAGGATTGTCTCTATTTTACTAATTGCCCATTTCCTCGTGAGCAATGAATATTGAAGCTTTGCTTGATTAAGTGTCATGGTCATAGGACTGCCGCGTATCATCTTCCTTAACTGATCTGAGTTTATAGTCCCAGTGGCTATGCTTTTGTCTTCCCCCAAGAAGAAATGGGCCGCTCCCCTGTCTTGGGCCATATTGGAAGCATTATGACCATATATATATATGTATATAAAAGTATAGGTATTATTTACATATAAACTTTTTTTGTTCTGCAACTCTTTCGGGGCATACAGCTGTTTCTCTGCGGGGTTCTGCCACTCCTCTCTCGTGGCACCCTTCCAAAGCCGTGCTGCTGAGCGGCCCTCGATGGGTCGGGTTGAGAACTCTCCCGCGGGATTTGCTGGCAGTTAAATCGGGTCTCGGGCCAACGTGTCTTCCGTGACAACTGATCGGTGTTTTTCTTCCTTCCACCTTCTCCAGAATGACATCGTTGCCGAGGGAACACGGGTAACCGTGCCAGTGCTCAGGGGGACGGTATTTTTGGGATGAACGCTTCGGTGGTTACTGCATTTAGCAGAGGAACAGATACTTCACGCCAGGAGAGAGGTACAAATGCCAGGAAAAATGAGCCCGGGCACCAGGCAGATTGGCTTGCTGGGGTCTGCTGTGTGCTGTCAGCAAGGCCCTTGATCTGAATACTCAACAGCTGCCCGCGGTCCTCCTGAGATTAGTGTAAGAATTTAATCCTCAATTCATTCTTTTCACCTTTCTTCAGAAAACTTGATTGTGAGGGATCACCAACCCATACAAACAAAACAGATCTCCAAAGTCTTGTATCGTGAGACTAAGATAATTCGATTTATAAATGTGTATCGTGGCTCTAATATTGGTGCTGTATTTGTGAGTCCAGCCCTGCTCTCGTGCGAGGATTTGCTGGTGGAGGGGCTGAAGGCAGGCATGACCTCTGGAGCTCTGTCGGCGAGCTTCCAGCTTGGGAACAGCTTGTGCCTTTCGCAGCAGTAGTCGTTTCGGAAGCGTTCACTTTATGCTGTTGTCTTCTTCATATGTTGGAATTGTAACTCATTTACTTAAAATAGAGAGCTTCAGGAGTCATAATTAAAATGTGCGAGCTCTTCATGTCCTGTTTTAAGCAACCTTTTCTCATCAGCAACTGGCAGATGGAGTTTAGGTTGATCCCTCTTCTCCTGGAAGCACCAAGTTAAAATATTTGTAAATGTAATCGAATGTTTACAGCTACACTACAATAATTAAAACCTTATCGATCCATAGAGGAGCGCTTGGCTTGCCAGAGTTCTTTTGAATAACTGGGTGCAAAAATTGTCACCTTGTGTTTTGATTTGGTGTCTGTTCCCTCAGGGTAGGTCTTGGATGATTCTTTCTTTGGTTTACCTGGAACAGCAGTCTTCCCACTTCTGTATATTTGGTACGAGCAAATGTACACTCTGTGTGTTTGGTAAACTTGAGACCAGCCGAGAGCCAGCCCGGGTCTTGGTCAGGAGATGCCGTTCCTCTGCCACAGCGGGCTCCGAGCAGACAGCTACCAGACATCTACAGGACCCAGACCCCATGTACGTGCTGGAAGGGAGAGGTTGCTTCCCCTGCTGGGGTTTGTGGCAGAAGCATGGGGACGGAGGAGAAAGAAACCCAACCAGCTGAAGGAGAATAACCTTGTTTGACTTCCAGCAGCTGGCTCGGGAACAGAAACTTCCGAGGGGGGAGGAGTGGAGTGCTTGTGAACCAAAACCGAGCACAGCCTCTTCACGCTGGTTCCCCTGTGTCTCTCGAGGAACTGGTGAGACTTCCCCAGCGCCATGAAGGTTCCTCAGACAAATCTGGCATTTATCAAATTTAAAATTGGTCTGATAGTTCAGTTTCTTCTTCTTTTACTTGCTTTGTAGGAGCTTTGTACAGTGCTCGTTATTCAGGGCTTCTTTCCATGATTAATAATGGCGTGTAAATGTTTAGAATTTTGCTGGATGTGAATTTAAGTAGGAAGAGCTGCTCAAGCAGGAGCAGTTTTTGCTGCAGGTACAAATCTTTGGAAATGTGGTTCTCATGATTACTTTTTCCCCTTGTGTGGAGAAAAATCAAAACCACAACGTGCATATCACGCGCTGTTTTTTGTGGCACAGAAATAGAGTACTGCGGTGTCTGAAGCCAGCTTAAATCAGGCTCTGTGGCACTGAAATTGCTGCAAGAAACTTCCCGCTAAAAATAAATCAAGATCCTTTGCTTTTAAGTGCCTTCACTTCAGCGGTTGGTTTTGATTTTGGGAGATTCCTGGCGGATTCCCGAGGGAAAGGAGCGGATGGGTTTGGTGATGTTGACGGAACGTGGGATTCCAGCGCCTGTGGCAGAGTTCTGTTTGTCTCTTGATGGTGGTTTCTTGTTTGCCAAAGCACACGGTCATCTAACGCCTCGTTGTTCCTACCTCAGGCCATCCAGAGTATCGGCAGTTTCCTAGAGAAGAATGCTCTCATTTTGTTACCGTGAATTGTATTGTTAATTTGTCTTTTTTTTTTTTTTTACTGTAAACATAGATTTAAGTTCCATTGCAGACACTTGGTTCTTCTATTCCATATATTTGATACACATTTTATCAGTCTTCTTAGTATCTCTTGCTCTGCTGGGGTCAGGATGCCTTTTTCTGGCTGGTGAGGAGATCACCTACTGCTGTGACTGCGCTGCTGTAATCATGGTTGTGCTCTTGCTTCCAGAGTCTCTGCTGTTTCAAAGACCGGTGTGCATTACTTTGCCTGCACGTAATTCCACATCGTATTGTCAGCATGGTTATAGAGCTTTGCAAACTTTGAAGAGCAGATATGCATTGGCTACGGTTGATTATCTAAAGTAAACAGCTAGTTAGTGTACAGCGGGGAGCTTCTGCAGGGTTGTGTTCTATGGAAGACAAAAACAGACCAAACAGTGAGTCTTTCCCCTTGCTTGGCTTTAGTTGTTACACTGTGAGTGTCGCCAGCCTGTATTCATACCTCCAGGACTTATTTTTTGAGGATACACAGGTTCTCTAGACTCATGTGTACGTTCGTTGTCGTCTCTTGCTAGACCGTGTAGCAATGGTTTCCCAGTCTTCACTAGCTCACGTGGAGCAGCGCTAAGCAAGTGATGTGCTGCTGGCAGCAGCAGACTTCGGTCTCCTTCAACGGTTTCAGTCTTAATTTAATTTCCTCAGGCAGCAAGCTCTGTGTGCAAGGAAGACGGACTCCATTGCCAGCCCCGTTCACTCTGGACGTGTCTCCTCCCACTCTGGTGAACGACGGTGCCTGCTCTAGCACTGCCGTGAGGAGACGAGCACCCAGCTTCACGGGGACGTAGGAGACAACCTGGTTTTCTGCAGCCACCGAGCCCCTGCCTCTGCGTGCAGCTGGGCAGGAGCATCAAACGCCGGGACCGCGCAGCCCTCTGTGCTTGGGGTCACAGTCTGTTCCCTCACTTCTGTTTTGGGCCAGGAGGGGCTTGGCCAAGGGCAGAGAGGGCAAAGTCCCCGAACTGCTCTGACCCCAGCACCCCGCTCCTGGCAGTGAGGGCCACTTAAGGTTTTGGGGTTTGTCCAGACCTCCTCTACAGCTTGCTCCCTGAATTTTGAGGTTGCCCTAGGTCACCACGGGCCCTATGGACGCATAGATCACTTGGCACCTGAATTTTCTTTCCTGTAAACAAAGTATTCCTGGATCTGGTTTACGGGCTTGGGCAAGTTCCCTGCTGTAGTCTCGCACTGCCAGTGGGATGGATTGCCGGTGCATGTGCGTCTTAAGTATGAAATTCATACTGCTGACAAAAGGGGTGATAGAACTTGGCATTTAGCAGGAAAGCTGTTAGCAGGAAAGCCAGGTATCTTACATAGCCATTGACAAATGAGGACTAAAATACAGTGATTTATTGCCAGACCTATCTGGCAGCCTCTTTCCAGTTTAGGTTTGTTGGTTATCAGACACTTGTGAACAGAAAATAAAATAACATATGATTGACTTCGACAATTCTTAGCTAGCTGATTCCAGGAAGGATTTCCTTGCTTCATTGTTGAAGGCGCCGTTCTGTGCAGAGGCTTCTCCTGGAGCTGCTGTAGACGCCACCGTTAAGGTGTTTAAACCAGAGCAGTGACTGTTCCCATCCGACAGCACGCTTGGTTATCTTCCTGGGGCGTGTTTTGAGGAGCAATGTCAGCAGCAGCTCAGCATCTCCCTTTGCGGGGCCTGGATCTGTTTCCAGGTGGTCTCCACCTGAGGCTGCTCTCCAGTCTTGGGGGGCTCCATTGGCTGCGAGCCCTGGGGAAATCAACTGATACTCTGGAAGCCCCACCTGCCCCCGGAGCTCTGAAAGGGTTAAATTGGGTCTAGTGTCACTTTAAGCATGCTGTGATTCACTCCTTTAGAGAAAACAGGGATGTCTGAGCATTGTCTGATCCAGAAACACCTGGAGGAGAGCATGTACCGAGCCCACAGCGACCAGCAGCGACGCTCACCGCAGTGACCTCCGCAGCACTCGCCTTCCCGGCCGGCCAGCACCACGTGTCTGAGGTATCGGTGCCCCAGCAAGCGCTGGGTAAAGACGATGGCTGTTTCTGCTGGGTGACCGCAAAGCCCTCCCAACTGTCTGCTGAAAATACTTGTCCATGGCAAGGAAATGACTGTTTTGTTTGTATTAAGAGTCAGGAATAGGAAATGACGTGAACTCTTAACTGTTTTTCCCGGTGTTTTTAAGAGGAGGTATATTGACTGTCTCAGGTCTTCTTTCCAAAGGCATTCAGCGTTTTCCACAACCCTATAGTGTGTGCATGCGTGCATACATACATATATATGCGCGTGTGTGTGTGTATATATGTATGTGTGCATCGGAAAGTGTCTTGTAAATCTTGCATGCCCACCCAGTAACACTTCACTAGTCTTTCCCTGTGACCACGCTGTAACATGGCTTGATACATTCCTCCTCACAGTGCTGAACTGAAACTGTCCTCAGGTCTTGTGTTCCCAACACTGGAATAAATCTGTGATTATACAGCGTGCTGTAAGCTCCCCGAGGAAGTCAAAATTCACATTTGTCAATGCTTATTTTGCCTAAGCACCGGTTTTATCTGCATCTGCTGCATTCCACTGTGCATTTAATCTTTTTTATCTGCGTATTGCTCCTCGCTTGCCCTTGAAAAAGGAATGGTCCAACGTTTTAGCCTTTTTAGTTGCTGATAACTTTGTTACTGATTTCTTTGGTCAAGGTGTTTCTCTAAACCAATCGCTTCTCTTTAGATGCCTTGAAAACGAGCGCTGGCAGCGTGGCGCTCTCTTGCCCTGCCGTCTCACTGCCCAAGCCCTGCGCGTGCCCCGTCTGCAGGATGAAGGCCTTCAGGCTCGGTTGTAGCGATGCCAAGTTCCTGCACGTGGGCTTCTCCCTCCTCTGTACTTCTGCAAGTGCCCGGCAGAACTGCAAGCACACCATCCTGGCCCACGGCTGGAGCTCCAGGGTCGGGGGGGGAAGCTCTGGGTTTGTTGTGGTTTTAAACCAGCTTAGGCCTTTAAGACATTGTCATGGAGTGAAGTCCTGCGACTCCTGCCCACAGAAAAATGTCGGAATCCTGACGTGTACCCGCCAGGCTAACGTACCACATGCCGCTTCATCTCCCTGACCTCTGCTCAATTCCCTCGCCCTTCCGCAAGAAGCAGGTCAAACCACCGCCTGGAAATCAGAATTCACAGCGAAGGTTCAAGAACGCAGCTCTGCAGCGGCAGGCGAACGCTGCGCCCCAAGCAAGAAGCAGCAAGCGCTGTGTCTGCAGCCTGGCTCAGAACGCACAATTCTCAAATCAGTAACTTTTTTTTTAAGAACGTTAATGTTTGCCTATCATCTGATGCTGATAGATGACACAGTCTCGGTTCTTCGGAGAATCAAACTAAAGTAACATTTTATTGCTCATTAAAGACTTGCTGTATTATATATGAGAAAATGTACAGTGATTAACAATGTAAATTCAAGCTTTCTCCTTTTTTTTAACAACATCAATTTCTGGATGGTTTCTTTGTACTCCCATGCATAAACAGAAAAGTGACCCATAACATGCACGGGCAAAGAAAGTTTAATTTCCAAAATGTTTTTTATGTAGATCAGAGCATATCATGTAGACTTCTCTTAAAGACTTGTGGGCATGCATGAAATGCAGCAATAGTGGCTGTTCGGTAGAAATATTTTTAAACTTATCATCTTGAGAATGAAATGTTAAATGAAGGGAAATACTTGTTATATGAAACAAGATAAATGTTCACCTGGAATATAAAACTGGACTTGGAGCAGGTGTTCCTGGTACAAAAGAACTCCCCCATCGTAGCTGCAGGGGGAAGGGAAGGTGCTGAGGAATGCCTTTGTCACTACACGTAGTTTGGTCTCTAAAATAGAACAAATCTGTAATTTTCTATTCGTGTGCAGTATGAGTTCAACTCTGCCCACGGCACTTAGTTCACATACTGCAGCATCCCTAAGAAAGGAAAGGATCTGGTTACAGAACTTGTTTTTATTGTCTACAATTGTGATACAAAATGGCTGTTGCAGAAAGTCCTTCCCCAGGTAAGAAAACGAGCACTCAACAAGATCTCGGTAATGATGAAGTAAGGAATTTGAGAATTACTTCTTCACCTAAAATTCATGGTTTATTTCATAGTTTCACTGATGGAATTTTTCATTTTCTTCAGTGATTAGTCACGGCTCTCGGCCTTCTGGTACGCATACAGAACTGTTATGCACCAGCCTCAGCATGTACAACCACAAATCAAATGAACGCTTTACAGAAGACAGTTTGCTTTTATAGTGATCACGCACTGATGTGAACATAGACTAAAAATAACAAATGTTGCTTTAATAAGGATTTTTTACAGTAGGCATAGATATAAAAGTTTTTCAAATTATTTTCACAGGTATCACTGAACATTTCATAGCTGTCTGTTACAGAAGCACCGAAAAGTGCTTTGAGTCTCTCATTTATTATACATAGTTAAAATATATTACACTTCTGAAGGTATCTTAAATCACTGAACAGTTTTGCTAGCATCTTAATGAGCCAAATGGGAGTAAAAGGCAGTCCACATTCATGATGTGAATATACAGTAAGGTGTTTGACATCCTATTAACTCATTGCTCATGTTCTCAAAATAACCATGGTGATGAGACCTGAAAGACAAGAATTAAGAACTAAACGCTTTAATTTCAGAGTAACACATGTAAAATAAAGAAAACAGTTTACCCTGTCACAGGCCAGCAAATAATAATATATACATGCAGAATATATTTACATAAATGCTTTACTTAAATACTAGAAGTATTGCTCTGAATTTGACAGTCAATATCGGTGTAAAAATGACCCTGAAGTGCAGTATATCTGGTAACTAAACTTCAGAGAAGCTACAAACACTCCAAACAGTTATCACACTACTGGCAAATCTCAAGATTGGGATTTTGACTTTGGTCATCGCCCTCCTCCCCCGCCAGTTTCCATGGGGGCTAGCTGTGGGTAGTGTAATCCAAATGCTGAATCACCAGTCAGGCAGATCAGCTGAAAGGTCCAAGACATTTTCGTTTCTGCTCTGTGCAGAATAACTGATCTAAGACTAGTTTCAGACAAAGCTGTCAAGCTTCCTCGTCAGTCTACAGACTCTTTGTTGTGACCTTTAAAGAGGGAGGCGAAAAAAAACCCAAACTGCTCTGATAGAGGTTAAAAACAATTAAAAGCAGATGAAAGCAGGAAATGTGGGGCTAACAAACCTACTCATGACACACTGAAAAGTTCACTTTAATTATGTGCTGATACAGGAAAAAGTACAAATCTGCAAGGTCTTAGCCATGAGTTCTACTGCACAAGGCAAAGAGGCATATGGCAAAAAAGGTTAGGGCTCCTTGAATTCCAACCTCACGTAACACCAAAATAGTAATTTATCAGTTCTCAGGCAATCTGGCTTTCTTGCAGGCTCAGATGATGTTAATATAATAGCCTTTGACTGCAGAGAGCCTCGCTAAAGCCTACAGATCTCACCACGGATAAAGAAATTTCTGCAACTATTCCACTATCCTGCCACTACATACTGATTTAACTTCTTTACTTTTTATAAAGATTTTGAAGACAAGCAACACAGAACAGAGCTGTAACGCTGCCTTCCATTAGATAAGCAGTTTATCCATTAAAGGTTTCTATTAGCTTAGACAATCAGTACCACCCCCACTGCTACAGGCCTTGGCATGGATTATCAGGACGGTCGCAGTGATCCCAGCGGCTGCTGGAAGGCGCTGCGGGACAGCCCACACCACTTGTATACGGACTGACAGGCAGTGAAGCCTTTAACTCATCTCTGCAAAGCAAATACTTCTCAAATGTTGTAGAGCCCAGGTGGTGTGGTTTTAACGTCCCTTTTCAACTAAAGGCTACACAGTCCAACTTTACTTTGTCATGCAAGAAAGTGGTTTTATCTTCTCAAGAGCAATCAGCTTCCCAGATGAGCAAGGGTTGCACCCAGAAGAATCTTTTCATGAACACTACAGCTGCTGCTACCAAGGGAATCAAAACCTCTAAGAACTTCATAGTGAATCTAGAAACAGGTTAAGTTGTTGAAAACTTCTAAAGTCAAATGGTTTAATACGATAGTTGGCACCAGCAGAAACTGAAGCAATTTTCAAAACTAACGATAAACACAAAGCAAGGATTACTGCAAGGTCCTGATCTGAAAACACATCGCCATCGGCTCCGGCAAAGGGTGACAAGTGACTTTTCAAACCGTTTCAGCAGACTGACCTGCACGAGTCAGTCAGGCAACTGTGTGCACGAACCAGCAAGAACTTGGATCTTTCCCACCACTACCTCACCTCTAGCTATCAGTCTGAAGCTGCCTAGCTCGCTTCCTTTAAATCCTCATTTCTGCGGAGAACTGAGTTTACTGTGACTGTTCTTCAAATCTGAAATAGTTGTAGAAAAATAGTCATGACAAATGAAGTGTGCAACTTATCTATGCTTGCTAATTTAGGGGCAAGTTACAAATCGGGAAGAGTTGTAGATGGTGCTGGTGTCCTAGGAAGGGTTTACAAGTTATTTCTACACGTTTCAACTGCTTCTCAGCAAGGCAGTGAATGGAGCCTTTGAGACCAGCTCATCTGGGTTGGAGTGAGAAATAAGATAGCAGAAGAGATCTATGTTCTGCAGTAGAGCAACTCTCTATTTCAACACAGGAATAAGAAACAGCACATTCCATTCAGTTCTGTTGGCAGATGACTACAGTTGGCCAGTCATCAAATGAAGGCGAAATTAACATGTAGGGGCCTGTATGTAATAAATATCAACTAAAATCTGGTCTAAAATACCTATAATAACTAATTTACCCTGATATCACTACGACTGCAAGTTAAAATATAAGTGGAGATGCAAACCAAAAATGAGTTGTGGTGCTTTGTCTCCATCAGGTTTCCTGAAGCCACTGGCAAACACAGGAGAAGTTTCCCAAATCACAGAAGTTGCAAGAAAACATTTACAAAACCCAAAATACTTACCTAAAACATAAGCAGCTACTAACTTTTGATTCACACTTAAATGGAGGTAGAGAGGCACCAGGGATTCCATTTCCCCCAATGTAGGTAGCATTAGTGCTGCAATACACACTATTCCTAGGAAGACTGTTAGTAAACTAGGTCCCGACGAGGCAGTTCTGTTTTCTGAAAAACAAAATGCAACAACTGTAAGGAGTATCTACCCAATATAAATGTTAAATATTCTGAAAAAATGTTTGTGGTACATTGGAGCTGCAATATCCTGAGATTTTCATTTCCTTTTGGAGTTTGGAGGGGGTGGAAAACAACTCTTAAACCCTTAAATCCTCCTAAATCTTCTGCATTTTGCAGTGGAGAAGGCTGCTCCCCGCTGTGAGGCTGGAACTTGTTTTCACACGACTTCCTAAACCCCTCCCTTCCGGGGGAACAGGGCCTGCCAGGCCCAGTAGCTAGAGAGATATATATATAGATGCACACACACACACACTCATGACAGCTGGAGGTTTCAGCAATGCTTGAGGCTTCACCACGCATCCTGACTCCATTCCTCGACATGTTCCTTCAGTGATTAGTAACTGATTAGGAAAGAACAACTAAAGGACCTGCACAGGCAGATAACTCTGCTTACACCTCCAGAATAAAACCTGGCTACAGCAAGAGCACAGGTTCTCAGGCCAGATGAGTTCCCCTTCTTTCTCTGGAGGACTCGAGGGCTGCACCTGCCAGAACCAGTTTATATGCCACCAGTTAGTAATATTTGAATCTTACTTTAAAGTGCGAGTGAAGCACTCTGACAGTCCAACATCACCAGGATAAGGAAATGCAAACTACCGATGAACTGTCCTTCATACTCGTTACTGTGCTGCACTTCAACAGCTGGAACCACTCAAAGGCACACCGTGTAATCTTTGAAAAGAGCTGCTAACATGTTAGTTGAATACCTCCAACCAAATTCTTAAGACCCATTGGACATTAGCCAATGCTTTTATGAAGTTTTTCTATCCTCAGTGATTAGCAATGTGTGTCCTACTTTAATTCCATAAATCTGTTATTACTGGTTATACGCAAAGACTGTAGTTGCTGTGTTTATTGTTTTTCTGTCAGCAACCAATATAACATAGTCAACAAGATTTTTAAGCAGAGAAATAGCACTTGGGTTAAAACCAGTATCAGATTGTCCAGTATGGTTCAAACCCTGTACCAGAACAACTATCACAGCAACATTTTGTCCTGTGAGCCCAGAGATCTTGTAGGTTTACTTTAACCGTACATCCTCCTAATACTATCTTGAGGGTTTTGTTATTGCAAGGTGTTTCACCAGCCAACAAACTATGTATAAATAGTGGAACAGTCTTGTTTTAACAAGAGGAATATTCTCAAGCAGGTTCGTCTATTTCCTGGAATTGATTTTTGTTCTTGTCATGAAAAATAAAACAGTGACAAGAATATTACAGTATAAATCAGTAAAAGTAACAAGCAGGTAGATGGTCAAGTCAAGAATCAGTTTAGATTCAGTTTCAGCAAAACTTGATACTTTTTTATATCTCCCTCCACCACTTTAACTGTTTGGTCCAGGTTTTGCCCAAGACTGTCAATTCACTTCCTCAGGTGTGAAACGCGCAAAGTCTCCAGCTAGCAACTGTGCTTTTCTGTACTTGTGAGACAGACAGAGGAGACGGCGCAGAACAAGGAGCACTTCAGAAGATGTTTTGGCAATATTTCCTGCTCATCAGGAAATGGAAGATTAAGGGTTTGGAAGAAACTCAGAAGGGGGATATGTTCTGAAAGAGCCCAAGGGAAAAAATAACTACTATCCTTTTGCGGATACATTTCCATTGGCTGTAACAGAACTTCTGCACCAGAGGAACACAGGATGTGCTCTCCAAGGTACGACATGCAAACCTGGGGCAGCAAAGGGTGGTGGTTAATCTAGACAGCATAAGCAGAACAGCCATAGTTCGGGTTCTTGGGCGCTATCATGCCCCAGTGATAAAGAAAGAAGTCTTACAGATAAGTAGAAAGAATTATTTTGAAATTTATTTTAGTCTAGGCTTTCTAGTTACTCAAGCTATTCATAACTGATTCAGAAGACAGGAGGGGTACAAGATTTCAGCTACCTGGTTGACACAAAGTCTGCTCAAAAAAGACACTTTCTGTCAGGTGTTCTTTTATTCGTTTTTCCTCCTCTTCCTTTTGTTGTTGCTGTTCCTTTGCAGATGGAAGTAGAGTAGCAATAATCTCCTTTTTCCCTAATGCTTTCCTCTGGGTCTGCTCAGACACTTGTAGACGGAATTTATCTATCACACCATAGTAAGCAGCCCGAACATCTCTGTGACGAATCACGCTGCAGAGGAAAACAACATTTTCAAAACAGAGGAACTAATAAAAACCATTTCTCCTGGGGAATTACGCCCCACATCCCAATGCTTCCCCTCCTCCCTGCCCCCAACACACTGCAATAGTCCAGATCCCCATTCCTTCCCCATCACTCAATGTTCTTGGAGATTTGATCTTGCCTTCTCTCTCCCCCCTCACATTTGCTCTGGTTCCCAAATATATCTGCTCCAACTGGCTGGCCAAAAAGAACACTTAATTCTTTATCTCAGGCACACTTTTGCCTCAGTCCAAGACATGGCTGCTAATTTTCATGAAACATCATTTACCTGAAAGATGCCTCCTCCTTTACCAAAGTTATTTGATGCTGGCCAATGATTTTAGAAGGTATGGGGGAACTGGAGTGGTCAGGGAAGGGAAGAAGGGAAACAGGACGGCCAAGTGCTTGGACAGGTGATGGCAAAAGTCTAGCTTTTTGAGGAAACCAGGCTTAAAGCTTTACAATTATACTTTCTCAGAAGGAAGACCCATTCCCTCTACGGACAAAAATCAGCTCACTGTACAGGCACTTTCAAAATCAGCAGCTCACCCTTAAGAGCAGGTAACACTGCAGTAAAAATGGCAGCTACGTATCTACGTAAACATTTCTCACCTGTCTTTCAGTGAGTAAATTTGGATGTCAGTAGTAGAGCTCTGTGCTGACAGAGCTTTGCTCACCAGTCTGGGTACCCTGAGTACATTTTGTAGCCTGCACAGAAACTCATGATGCTGCAGGTACTCCACTAGCTACCAAGAGCTGTGCCATGCGTAGCTACACATGCTGCAATCACAACTCAGACTGCAGTGTAGACACACCCTCTGACTCCCAGCTACAGAGTCAGTTATTTTCTTGGTAAAACTTCTCGCTGTCTAGCAACCACTCTGTTGCTCCACTGTTTTGAATAGGTGGACCAACATGGCTTCAACAGTAAGACAGGGTGATAGTCATTGCATTCCCTCTATTTTACAGCATTTCACGGGAAAAATTGTATATGGGACCTACAAAGGCACAGTATTAAAGTAACACTGATCAAAGACAACACAGACCTCTGAGCAGTGCTCTGCTCAACCGCCTCCTCTCTGCATTTATGACTCGTTATGAAAAGACATACCTAGCCCTAAAAAAGCTGTAACTTTTAGGTTTTTATGTCATATCAGCTCTTACAGTTAATGTGGATTTTAATTATTTTTCCAAAGCAGGAAACTTTTTTTTGTGAAAGGCTATTCTAAATTTCTAAGATAACAATAGTTAATCTGAAAAAATACCTACATAAGTAATTTGGCTTCAAGCAGGCTGCCATTGCCTGAGGTGAAAAAAATGATTCTACCCTTAGTAATACAGGATAGTAGTCTTAAAATTGCTTAAAAAAACCCTGTCTTTGTGATAACATATACACTAAAATGCTGCAACAAACAGGTTTTTGTGTTTCAGTCTTCATTCAAAGGAACTATATCACATCAAGATACCTACAATCATTAACACATAGCCAGTGCTTGTAACTGGGATCTAGTTTGAATAGACTATTCAGTGAGGGAACAGAGACTAAATCATCCCCCAAGCTAGAAGGCTGCAGGAACGTACGTAGCTTTACATCACTTTAGAGGCAAAAAAGTGTGCTTATGACAGGCTTTCAGCAAGCTGAGTGTTGGCTGGACAACTGCCTTCACTAAAACAAAAGGACTGTTGGGGGAAAAAAGCCCAATTCATACAACTCAGCACATCAGAACAGCAGATTCAACTCTTCTTTCTTCCTTTAACACTTCCTTTTAAAATTTTGTTTCTACTCTTAGTACCATGGTACTAACTACCAGCCTAAACAGAATCTTTACATAACACTGTGCTGTGAGAACATGTGTCTGCTGCCAAGTGAAGAGATGTTTTCTGCAGACCCTTATAAACAGATACATTCTCCTGTTTCTTTTTAGAGACCATTGCATAATTGGAAGCTCTGTAGAATATCTGTTTATCTGGCAAATGGCCATACTTGCATAGTACTGCTCATATCCTAGCAGTAAACACTGCCCTTACACAGCAACCATTGGAACAGCACAGGCATTTTGCTGCACAAAAAATTCCCCTGGAAACATGCATATGCCTTCTTTTCCTTTATTAAATAAAAGACATTTGTTTATGATGAACTAAACGTAATGAAGTTTATGTAACTGTCTGCTAAAGACTAGAATAGCTCACCAATACACTGGTATATTCTGACCTGGTTTGTTCCATTTTTAGGATTTCTAACCCTTCCCAATGAAACTTATTAGTTCCATGTTTTAAACTTCCTTTCTATTCGGTGAGTCCTTGGAATTTTCCAAATCACACCTAAGGAAAACAGTCTACAGGAAAGAGCCATTCCCCAAGCACAGTATTATTCATCTGACAAAAGATGGATCATTCAATAGCAGGGTTTATGCATGTGGCCATTTGTTGGCCAGAGACTCCAGAAGGTGTTTTACAGTTTGCAAATTTCTAGTGAGAAAACAGTCTGCTTTTTTAGATACTTCATACATTCTTTAGCTGTATCTGTACACCAGCACAGAAACAATGTGGCATACGGAAGATGAAAAAAGTTAGGCTATTTTAGCTTATGTACCTACTCTACTTTGAATTATAGCAGTCTACAGACCCTATATATACACATTACTGTGGTCACTGAACCGGCCTTCATCTTTTCTATGTTACTGAGTTGGGACCTGACAGGAGAAACAAGTAAAGAGGAGACAGAGAGATCTGAGAATGAGAGAGGCAGTCAGGGTGAAAGGTAGGCTGAAGCACCTTTATTAAACATGGCCCAGGAAAGCGTGCTCGGTAGAACTGCACACATTTCCATCGTGCCCACCTGCAACAAGTATTTCTCACAAAGAAATCCCAACCCTGGGGGTCTTGCTGTTCTTGTTAGAAATAACAAAAAACTACTCGGAGGAGCCTCGTATCAGTCTCACTGCTGGTTTACAAACTATACTACAGGATGCATTTAGTAGCATTTTATTTATGCCTAAAGACAAAATTAAAGAAGTAAATATCTCAAATATTGTAATATCTCTGCCCTAGAGTGAAAAAATAGCAAAGATCAGATGGCCACAAGAATATAAGAGATTAGGAAAATACTGCATCTTTACCCAACTTAGAAAAAATCCCAAACCAATCAACGTTTACTTACATATCAACACAGCATTGCGGCTTCACTGCACCAGTAGGATCAACCACCGCATATTTGCTTGGAGTTGTACAAAGAACTGCAAAGAAAAGGACAGTAGTGGTAACAAATCATGAATTAATATCTCACCAACTTCATCAACAGATATACATAAAGACATGACTTTGGTTTTGTCACAAACAGGATCTGTTACACAAATTATAATTGGACTGTTCAAGATCACCAACTAACCCTTAAACAGAACTTAACCTAAGAAACCCACCTTTGAATTTTAAGGCAAACTCATAGGGGTTATATAGAGTCAACACCTGCTTGTGTGTTGACTGGTCATCTGCATAAAATATAAGTTCTGTAGGAAAAACAAAAACAGGAAGATTTCCTTCCACTAACTCTGGCTGTCTTTTTTGTTGCTGCATTGGCACTGAATCCTCCTTGCTGCTTCTTGTGTTCTTATGATTTTGTATCCTCAGAGACTTCAGTTTTTGAATCGTTTAAGAATTCCAAAGCATTTTGGCAATTCTAAAGGAAAAAGGGGAGAAAAAAAAAGAGAAAAGGCAAGAAGATTATTTCCATAAGTCTATACTAAACTCAGGCAGTCAACAAAGATGTAAAAATACAGAACTTGATGCTTGGTTATGAATCTACCATTACTTAAGTTCCTTCAAAAATACAGAAATAGAAAAAAATAGTTCCATCAGGTTTCCATCTATTTAACAAACTGTTATAAAATAAATGGATAAGCACTTCTTCAGTGTATCATGGCAGCATTCTGGGGTCCCAGTCCATGACTAGGGCTGCTTATGCTGGGTCTTTGCAACACAAACCATACAACAACAAAAAGACACCCCATCCTTGCCTCAGAACACTAACGCTTGAAAGAAACCAGAGCAGAAATGAGGAAACACAAAGACGCAAGGCAGCAGTGGTCACCGTTTAGGCAGGAGTCTCTCTGCAGTGGTGACCTTCCCGGATGAGGGATAACAACTTAGGCATCTGCTCACACAGGCTCTGAGGTATGTCAAATCCTAGAGATTCAGAACAAAAGAATGGGGAACACCTTCATGCCTTGTTTAAACTAAAACTCATTACAATTGTGTGGTAGTTACAGGCAACGAACTGAAAAATAACTGGGATGAATAACACCAGACAGATTTGGGATTTACTATTTGGTTAAAAAATAAGACAGGTTTTCTACCACCACTGTCTCTAACCACAGTATAACCATCATAATTCCCCCTCTGCCGCCCCACAGTTTTGTCTTATTTTGAGTGACATTCCAGAACTAAAAACAGCAGCCATGACCCGATCAAGCAACAATCCCAAATGTAATTCATAAAATAAAATTAAGGCCAGACTCCTCAGCACACATACCATTGACTTTACGCACTACAGGCAGAACAAAGTTCAACAGCTACATATATTTTTCCCCCAAGAACATCATATTTCACTGTAGCTCCTGTAGGTTAATTATCAAACTGAAAGTGCCCTTTGAGGCTTAATTTTATTCTATAGGAGAAAATATTAAAAGAACAAAAAGTTCTTACTGACTCAGTAGCTGCAACTTCCACTTCCAATCAAGCTTTATAAAACAACGTCCATTTCAGCTGTTCTCCCATCTAATAAACTGATTTAGTTGCACCTTAAGAAACTTTCTAGCAGCGAACAGCCCTAACACTATGAACAATCAAAAACAAATGCTTATTTTTACATTCTAAACACCACGACATTCATAATTCCAAGCACCAGATACATGTTTCATACCTGAAACATGACCCAAGTTTAAGTCTTTACTAGAGTATATCTGTTGTATCTTCAGATACAGGTTCTGATTCTTATTCACTTTTAATTTTGGGGTTTTTTTTGTTTTTTTTTAATAGCAAATCATCCTTGTAGAATTTAAATTCATTACTCTCATTGGAATGTCTTTCCCCAAGATCCAGTTTCTTTTCAGAGCGCAGGTTTGTTTCCACTTCACTGAAATGCTACTAATAATATTCTGAAAACAAATCCCCAATGATAGCGTTCCAAGCTGATGTGCTGCTACCTTATTAAGAAGCGTCTAGAAAAAGAAATAGCTCTGTAAGTGGCAGTTTGGGTTCCAAGTGCTTCTTAGAACTTTGGCGAATCTCTTTTGTTCAGAAGAATTAAACTCTGGAATCACTTTGTGTGGCCAGTGCAAGCACTGCTTCTTGGACAACTTGCTCTACTAGTGCAAAGTGAGATTCGTTGTTCCATACAAATACATTTAGACTATATGAAGAGCTAATGCGGAAAAACTGCCAGCTCATAGGAATACAAAATACCTTCTTTTGAAACTTCTCACAGGCAGAAGGTTCTTAATTTTTTTTTAATAACACAAGTTAGCTCAGTGCAGCACGCAGTAAGTATACGTGAGAATCTTTGGTTCTCATACACACCGACGCTGCGTACTTTATGCATAACAGAAATGTTGGCAATCTTTGAAATTAACCAAGGGGGGGGTTTTCCTAACAAATGTTTTAACTGTACAACCAACAGCAAACTACTGCTAGATATTTTAAAGTGACTATATTTAATAAAAAATCTAAGATATTGTTTATAATATTATTTTGGTGCTTTAGTTTTTTATTGGAACACTGCACAGGTTTCATTCTGATTCCTGGCATCATACCACAACTCCAGCTTCTTCAGCTCAGCCAGCAGCAAGTGTTTAGGTGTCCAAAAACCCACAGATCACAACATCAGCAGAGGTACGGATCACTAAGCCTATTAACAGCCTCGTTTTTCTCATGCATCCTTCGAAAACATAGGGTGCAAACCTCCCAAGATTCCACAGCACGCAGGCGGAAAGCCACCAAACTTTAAAAAATGTATCCCGTTATTGCTTCCTTTTCTTATTTAACTTGGCTGGATAAGAAGTTACCGCTCAAAGGGGCAAAAGTGAAATCTGGTAAATCCAGACCTACAGCAGACATGTTTGCTGACACAGCAGTATCATTCAGGGTGTAAATTTCTGGATTTCCAATTTGTTTCGTTTTGAGACAACCGTTTTGGCTTAGAAGTCACCTTGCTGGGGTGTCTCACCAAGAAACATCGGTAAAAGCACTTTTCCCAAAGACTGCATTATAAGTGACACACATGCTGGGGAGATTTGACGGTTTAGTACCTTTCATACAGCACTCATCAACAAGAAACTGCAGAGAATTTTACAGAGAAAGTCTGTACCATCAGAGCTTCTCTGGCCCAGATTAACCCTAAGGCAGTGCTCACGTTCAGACTCCGGCTATGCCAACGGCCGACTTCAGCACCCCAGCCAGGCCATTCAGAAGAAACTCGGCTGCTGGTCTCCGACACCGTGCACAGCAGCGCAGCAGGCTCCCACCACCGTCACCAAGTTTTGCAGGCAATGGTAACCATGATTACTTGCAGAATATACAGGTAAGCCCAAGCAGATCTGTACGAAATCGAGATCTGCGGCCTCATGCCTGTGACCTGCACCACGCAGATGGGCTTCTCCTCAGGCCGTCAGCAAAACTGCCCGCGGGTGCTGGAATCCATCAGACGTAACGCTCATCGCAGGACACCAAGCATAACACCTGAGCAATTCCAGCTTGCTTCCCAACGCTCTCTGAAGTCCAGACGAACAACTGTCACCAATACTGTTTTCAGCACAATATGGATCTTGCCTGCCTGAAGTTACTAAATATATACTGCTGGTGTCACAACAGCATAGATCTGCCAGCGTTTTCTGTGAAATCTCTTTCTTCATAAATATAATTTGACAGAGAAAAATGCAGAGTGAAATGTAACTCCTCTCTAGGCTCGGAAATAACATCAATTGTGATTTGTTTTCACTTTACAAGTATCTGCTGAAAAAATAAATCAAGTGAGGAAGTTTTTTGTTCCCATTTTGACTTCCAACAGCCTCATCACCATGGCTTCCAAGTGCATTTGTTGGTTGTTTTTTTCCCTAACAACTGCAAATAACTCTACAGAATGTCACCTGGTAAATGCTTTATTCAGCAGATAACCTCTTTACAGCCATAGTCTCCACATTCTCCTTTTAAAAATTGTCTCATTACAGTGTAATCCGTTTTTGTTGTATCTCATGAACCACCCTTTAAATCGATACAATAAGCCTTTCTATAGTATATACTTCATAAAATTGATGTCTTTTGAGCACATATTTATAAAATAAGCCACAAAGACTTCTTCAAACTTCCCTCCTACATCAAGTGGTGCACTTACGTTAAGCTCCGTGCAAATACAGCGTAAGCTCTGCATGAAGCAGACCCTTTAACATTTTTTTTTCCTCCAAAAGCTTCTGAAGGCCTTAACGTCCATTTACGCAACCCAACGTTTACACTACCTGCAATTATTTGGGAAGGGTCATCCAATGATGAGAGCACAGACCCAGGGGTCAGGATGGCTGGATTCCATTATTGCTCACTCTGTCTGTCACTGGCACTCTATGACCTTGAGCAAGCTGGTTAACCTCACCTCGATTTGCTAATCTATGAAGGCACATATTCCGCAAAGCATTTAAGCAGGCGGACAGTCACACTTGGACTGGCCGAACTACTCTGATGCTTTGCAAAGTGAAATATGGTACTGTTTACCTCTTTACGGGGCGATGAGAAATGCAATCAGTAACTGTCTCCAGGATGCTGTAAAATGAGTTAGTCTCAGAGCATTACCGATTAGCATGCATAAATCACGTTGATACCGACAGCAAAATTTATTAGAACCGCATTACTTTTTTCCTCCAATTTTTCAAATATTGAAAGGGTGACAGTAACAAAATAAGCATAAAATTATTCAAACGCAACTAAGAGATGTGCAAAAGTGGGGCAAAACGACAGAACAGCTGTGCGCTGTTTCTGCCCCATTCCCCCGCACGGCGCAGAGATTCCAAGGGCACGCCTGTCTCCGCCTCTATTTTCCCACTCCCCGGCTCCGCTCAGCGCACCAAACCGGCTGTTCTTAACCGCGCACCGTG